TGCGTGCGTGCGTGCGTGTGTGCGTGTGCGTGCGTGTGTGCGTGTGTGCGTGCGTGCGTGTGTGCGTGCGTGCGTGCGTGCGTGCGTGCGTGCGTACTTGTGTGGGTCAGAATGAGACTTACCGGTATTCGAAGAGATTGAATGGTCCCCTTTCCTTGGCGATCCAAGAATTCCAAGAGGGAGAGTTGACTCTCAGATGTGGAGGCTCCGGTCGAGTCGCACAGTTTGACTACATGTTCACTCGGTTTCACGCGATTCAGCACTTTTACTAGCAGACCGGTAGAGTAATGCAAACCGGTAAAGTATGTCTATTGATCGGAATGTGCCTACGGACCAGCAGAGTAACGTTTGATAGAATTTGACTCGGACCGGCAGAGTAATGGCTGAAGGTTGGAATTTTACTTGGACCGACAGAGTAATGGTTGGAGGTTGGAATGTGACTGGCTGTTGTTCGTGGAGGGCCTCTTTTTATATTGGCGAGTTAGTGGTGCTGAGTGCAGAGCTCGGGTGTGTTGTTGGTCTAATCTAGGATTAGGATTAAGGATATCGGTTGTGAAATAGGATACTGGAGTATATGTCTAAGACAACTTCCGTCATCGACCATTTGCCGGATGTTCAATAGTTTAGAGCCACATGTGTCACTATTACAGACAACTGCTGTTTCAGTTTATAACTCTTAATCTATTTACTTCTCCTGTACCTCGGGATAAAGTTCGCCTATTCAACACTTGGTTCGAATATCTAATCCAACAATTCCGTCCTGAGTGGATTATTAATTTAAAAAGGTAAATTTTATTCAACTCGTCGCTATTGTAACTTTCTATGGTAGAAACAGATGGTCTACCGGTGTTACTTGTTAATAATTCTTATGGTAATGACGAAAGTTTTAGTCGAAGAAAAGAAGTGTGGAGTTCGGACGTAACACAATACATACTAACAATTGCAAAAGCTTCATAAATTAGTTTTAATTTTGTATATCAAAAAGTATTGTCTTTACTTCGTACAATATTGAGTATAATTAAGAATTTCAAAAATTCGATCAGAGAACACAAATATGGATTCACGCTATGGTTTATGTTGCCTATCTCCATAAGTGAGAAATAAACTAGCAAAAACTTTATAAAATATTTTTAATTCAATTTTGGCTCATAAAATTAAAAATAATTTATAAAACTTTTGCAATTGCTAGTATGTGTACAATTAATCTAAAATATATTTAAAAAATAATACAATTGCTGTTTGTATCTTAATTTTTTACACGATTATTTGAAGAAATTTATGCGGATGTCCGAACTTTCATGAGCGGTAGTGTAGAAAAATGTAGAAAAATATAATTTTAGTGCTAAGAGAGAACGCAATTTTATTCTTCTTTTTTTAGTAACGATTACGTCATTACAAAGAATTATTTCTTGATAGTATAATTTTAAAATACTCTTATCATTTACTTGAAACAAGTAATATTTATGTAACATTTCTTTGTATGTACATGCGCACGCTTCAGAACAAACTAAACTGACTTTTTTCCAACAATTTTTGATCATTTCCCAATTTTTGAGATATTATTTCTAAAGCACCGAATATCCACCATCGATAGCTTGACGCGCGGGGAGTGGGGTAAGCGCCCCGCTCACTGCCTCCAGCCACTAAGCTCGAACGGTGTGGCGCGCTTGCTATGCCATCCCCACTTCTCGCGGGCCGCGCGCCATGCGCTCGGTAGGCCGTACTTTCGGCAATAGTAAGTTTGGTGGACGCGCATATTCAGCTATCTTTAAACATTAATATCTTATTAATTATTGCGAGCATTGCAAAATGGTACAGGACTTTTCGACTCAGTTTAGTCCGCTCTATCTGCTTGGGACGAGTGGGGAAAAAAAATATATAATATAATATATATACACAATATACAATATATGTTATACCATAAATCATATAAAAAATTTCTTTAATTAAATAAAGAAATTTCAACTCCATGAATTAGGTAAAGAAAATCTTAGTATATTTGATCAAAGCTGATCTTATTGCTTAAATATTTCGGTATAAACTTATATGAGAGCAAGTCAATAAATTCTTAGAAAATCTGTCAGACCGCACTCGCAGTGTCATGTCACATTACTTTTTGATAAGTAGCATCTTTCAGCTGATTACTGCCAAATTTTCAGCGGAATTCATCGCGTGGTTTCATTTCTGACGATTAAAGCGAACAGCCTTTGTATTTTTTGCAAAATGGAAAAAAACGAGTTTCATGCAATGATCAAATATCTACATATGAAAGGTTTAACACCAAAAGAAATCAAAGCCGAGTTGGACAATGTTCATAGCACATCTGCACCAACGTTTGCGACGTTTGTATACAATTGGGTGAATGAATTTAAACGTGGTCATACATCCACATGTGATGCACCTCGTTCAAGACATCCAATTGAGACTGCTATGCCAGAAATTATCAATAAAGTCCACGATATTGTTTTGACTGATTGATGAGTAAAAGTGCGCGAGCTTGTTGAGGCCACAGGCATATCACATGGCATAGTGATTTCAATTTTGCACGAACAATTGGATATGAAAAAGCTATTGGCAAGGTGGGTGCCGCGTTTACTCATTGTGGACTATAAGCGCGACCGTGTGACGATTTCAAAACAATATTTGGAGATGTTTCAACGTAATCCAGATGAATTTCTGCGTCAATTTATTACTGTGGACTAAACATGAATCCATTACTTCACACCCGAGTCAAAACAATGGACTTCACCGAGTGAATCAGCGAAGAGGGCGAAGACCGTGAAATCGGTCGGAAAGGTGATGGCCACAGTTTTTTGGGATGCACACGGTATAATTCATATCGATTATCTTCTGTTGAAGCAAACGATCAATGGCAATTACTACACAGCCTTATTAGACCGTTTCAACCATATTTTAAAGAAAAAACGTCTCCATTTGGCGAAGAAGAAAATGCTCTTCCATCAAGACAATGCACGGGTTCACACGTGCCCGACACTGATGGCCAAATTCAACGAATTCTGCTACGAATTGCTTCCCCGTCCAGCATATTCGCCAGATTTAGCCCCCTGCGACTATTTCCTGTTTCCAAATCTGAAGAAATGGTTCGGGGGAAAGAAATTCACCACCAAAGAGCAGCCCATCGCCGAAACAGAGGCTTATTTTGAAATGTTGGACAAATCATATTATTCGGACGGCTTGAAAAAGTTGGAGAATCGTTAGATCAAATGTATCGAGCTGAAAGGAGACTATATTGAGAAATAAAAATGAATTGATAAAAAAAAAGTGTTTTACTACGTTTTTCTAAAAACTTATTGACTTGCCCTCGTATAATGTATGAATATTCACACGTTACAGATAGAAGTTATTTATGCTAAGCTATTTATGCATTCCCTATGTTTAAACATGCAATATTAAAATTGTATGTATTCATATAAAATATAATGTGCATATATGTACAC